CTATTCCTCAGACTTGTTTTTTAGCTTGTTCCTCCATCAGGGTCTTTTTACTTACTGTTCCCTCTGCCTGGAATGCTTTTCCCAAAGCTCTCTGAAAGGCTTCTTTGCAGAGCGCCTGGGTAGCTTAGTTGGTTGGGTGTCTGATTCTTGATTTCGGCTCAAGTCATGATCTCATGGTCATGAGGTCGAGCTCCATGTTGGGCTTTGTGCTGAGTGTGGAACCTGCATGGAATTCTCTCTCTCTCTCTCTCTCTCCCTCTCTCACTCTCTCCTGCTTCCCCACGCACTCTCTCTCAAAATAAATAACCATTAAAACACACAGACAAATCACTTAAAAAAAAAAAAAGGCCTCTTTGCATCTTTCTGATCTATGCCCAAATGCTACATCCTTAGAGAAGTTTAAGACATGCCCTCCACATCCAGTTTCTCTGCCCTCACCAGGCATCTCCCCTTCTTTGTGTCATACTATCAGACATTCCAGCATGTCAGCTAGTTTAATTATTGTCTGTCTCCCCACAGAGATGTGGGCTCCAAGGGGGCAGGAACATTGTCTTGTTCACACTCAGTTCAGTGCCTGGCCTTCAGCAGGAGCTCAGTAAATATTTGTTGACCACTGGAATACAACACCTTGAATAAGCATGTTAGCCTCCATGGGACTTCGTGGACTGGATCTCTGGTTGTTTAGAAATCTCTGGAGGTGGCTTGGCTTTGGAAAGCTGTGGAAAGCAGGGCACTGGGTGTCATGCTGTTCAGAGGGCTCAGGTTTATACTCCAAAAGGCTTACTGGGCTTCTTTCTGCCTCTACTCGTGAGGCAACAAAGGGGAAGCATTCTCATTGCTCCAAGGGTGTGGGGATGGTGGGGTAACCTATGGGACACCCTAAGGACATGGGCAGTAATAAGGGGAACCCTGATAAATAAATTCCCGGTCACTTAGTCAATGAGGCTGTGAGGCCGCTGGCTGTCCTTTTCCAGCTGACAGGAGAAGCCTTGCTGGTCTCACGTGACCAGGATTCCAGGGCCCCTCAGCTGCTGCCTGATGGGATCTGCATAGGGGATTATCGATGAAGGGGAGGTGAGGCAGCTCTTTACTGTAACACATGCCTTGCTCTGGGACAGCAGCCAGGCAGCTAATTAGAGAGCCCAGCAGCTGTCCAGCCTTTCAGGCAGCAAGCAGCAGCTACCCAGTGCCAGGGGGTGGGGTGGAAGGCAAAGGGGAGGGGCACGGGGCCAGAGACCACCTTCCAAGGTGTAGGGGATGAGTGGTCAGGGATTGTTTAGAAGGGGACATGGAGAAAGGCACGCAAGGCAAGAGGGGCTGGTTGGGGAGAAGGAAGGAAGGAGAGGAGGGTAAGGAGACAGAGTAGCCTGCAAGTGAGGAAGAAGACAGAGTGGTAAGATGTCTGGCAGACTGAGAAACCCAGATTCTAAGCCCAAAACGAGGGAGCATGGAGTGGAAGGACAGGGTCAAATGGAGTATGTGGGTGGCCTGTCTCCCATTTCCACCAACCTCTTCTATGCCAGTCAGGCCTAAGGGCCTGGGTTTTCACCTGGGGGAGCTGAGCAGACCCAGGTGCATTTGCACCTTTGCACAATCTTTCATTGACTCCAGAAGTTGCCAAATCCACTTGTGTTCAGAGCTGGTCTTCCTACAGGGCGAGTAAAAGCAGTTCTGCATCCCATGGGAAGAACCAGGGCACTTTGAGTAATCAGAGGGCTCCCCCAGTGGGGCTTTGGGGGCATTTTTTTCTTTACTTTGTAGGTACCTAGTGTGGGGGGAGATGTGGGGATGAGGAGAGTGAGAGGGACAAAGGGATGTGTTTGCCTGATGCTTCCTGGATCTGGTCTTAGGTTCTGGACCATGGACACGGGGCAGAGAGTGGGGGATAGGTTTGATTTTTAGGTTCCGGTCAGAGAAGTAGAGCTTCAATCCTGCAAGCCCAGCTTACCCTAAATAGTTATAGGGGAGGAGAGAGTGATGCAGAGGGACTTTCCTGCCAGCAGCTGCTGGTTAAACCTCTTTGGGAAATGAATGCTATGTGCATGAAAATGGATGTGCCTTTTGAGAGTGCCAGCACACTGTAGAAATAACAGAATAGGCATTGTTATTCTCTGACCTGAGCCTGAGCTTGGCCCCTTGCCCACATAGGAGCCTGCAGTTTCTCCTGGGATGCCTGGGACATTTTGTTCCTGCCCCAGCCTTCCTCGTGTGATATGTTATCTCTGTTGTCCCTACACAAGGCATCCACTTGTCTGTCCTCACCCCTCTGTCCAGGTGACAGCTCTTCGAGGTAGGAGAAGAAGAGTGAACATCATCCTTTCTTCCCTCATTTGCAAAGATAGCCCTGGCCACTGTAAACCCATATTTATGGCGCTTTGTGGGAGAGAGCCCTTCCATGATGAGTTGGCCTAAAAATTAAGGAAGAATGCTAGGCACCACTGTTTGCTTGATAACACTGGATGGTGTCGTCACCCAAGCGTTTAGCTGTGCCCTTCTCAACCTTGCTTGTCTGTCCATCCAGAAGAAATTCCATGGCCTCAAGGAATTTATCACGTGGAGGGAGAAACAGACGATAATAACTTTAAGATGGGACGTTATGTTTCAGTGGAAAGATGTTCAAAGGCTTGTGGGAACATCAGTGATGCAAAAGCTGGTGGCTTAGGAGGATGGCATCACAAAGGAATGAGGAGGGAGCTGGGTCTCGGAGGAACACGGGGCATGTTGAATAAGCGGCTTACAGAACAGACTAAGTAGATTATAGTGAATGAGGGACAGGTGCATGCAGACGCATGGGAAGCAGCTTGAAGGCATGATGTATGGGGAGAGGGGTGACTTTGGAGCCCAAAAACTAGGGTTTGAATAAAATGTGTAGATTGGGCCTAATCTCTTAATGTCTTGAAATTCAGTGTTTTCATCTCTAAAATGGGGGGTGGAGTGGGGGTGGGGTGGGTGGTGATCATTCCTGCCCTCCCTGCAGGAGTCTTGGGAGATTCATCAGAGATGATATACTTGAAAAAGTATAAGTTCTGCCCATGTTAGTTGCTATAAGGGCTCTTCATACATTCATATGCTCCAAAAACTTCTAGTTCAGGCCTTGTGGTCCACAAAGGAGCCTCATGCCGCCTATACGAGGGACCTGCTCTAAGGGGCCAGGAAGTGTCAGTGGGGCGGGGGACAACATGTGCACTTAGAGGCAGGGGTGGGATCCCTGCTAGACTATTGCCTCCTTGTCCAGCCCCCAGCACCTTCCTGGAGGAAGAGCCTGCAGACTAGGAAGCAGGAGGTGTCCGGTGCCAGGCTGGCCTCTGCAAGGGGCCTATTCTGACTGCAGCAGCTTCATCTGCCAGGGCGGTACCTCGGCCAGCGGCGGCGGGCTCCCAGGGCTGACTGCAGCGACCGACAGCCTGTGCTGCCAGGATGTGGGCTTTGGTTTCTGTTTCTATTTTGTCTCGTGCTTGGTGATGTGGCCTGCTTAGTTCCCCGTGGAAGGGGAAGTGCCAGTGGGTGGGATTGAACTCCCTGGGTGTGGGTCATGGTAGTATTGGGGGTAGAAGGGGTTGCGGACATGCTCCATTAAAGCCCTTTCCTCGAGGTAATGGGTATGTGCCAGCTGTCTGGGAGACAGGGGGAGGATGGACAGGTGGGGCAGGTTGAAGCTCCTGTATGTAGAGCAGCCGGGGAGGAGCCAGGGAGTACAGCAGCCCACTACACTTTGCTCTCCATCCTTTACTTGTCTCGGTTCTGGGGGGCGGGCAGAGGGGGTTGCTGGGGACCCAGGGGTGCACACCCTCCTGGGCCACAAGCACATGTGCATATAGTGAATTCTGCCCTTTTACTTCTCCTCGGCTCCCCTGCTGCCCTGCAAGTTGTCAGCTCAGGGAGCTCAGAGAGCCTGGGAGGTATGGGCTGGGAGGAAGCTGGCTGTGGGCACCAGCTCGGGTGGCGCCTCTATGGAAGACCCTGCTTGGCCCTCCGTGGGGAGGAATGGTCTTGGCTTCCACCCCTGTCCTGATATAGGGCCACCTTGCACCTGACCTCTGTTCTCGGGTTTGTGCAGATGATGCTGCACTCAAGGGGTTTTCAGAGAAGCTTCAAGGCGTTCATATTAAAGCCAAAATCTCTATCAAATGGTCAAATCTTAGGACTATATTAAAAATATGTATGTGGCCAGGGGCATTATAAAGTCAGATTTGTATCAGCTTGTAGTCCCTTTTTTTTTTTTTAATTAAAAAAATTTTTTATTTGTTTTTGAGAGACAGAGAGAGTGCTAGCTGGGGAGGGGCAGAGAGAGAGAGGGAGACACAGGATATGAAGCAGGCTCCAGGCTCTGAACGATCAGCACACAGCCAGATGTGGGGCTTGAACCCACTAACTGTGAGATCATGACCTGAGCTGAAGTCAGATGCTTAACCGACTGAGCCACCCAGGTGCCTCTATGTTACTGATGTTAATAGGAAGGGCCTCAACAATAATAGTGATAAAATAGAATGAAATAAATATTAGGGTGGTGGGATTATTGCGGGGAGAGGGTCTAGCACACATCTTGTTGGTGTGCTTGTTTTTCTGTGTGTAGTGTGCTTGATTCCCCAAATGCTACAACAAATACCCTACGTGTCTGGGGTTCTTGACCGCCCTTGAGAACAGATGTAGCCACTGCAGGGTGAAGGTGAGAGTGTAATTTGAAGCTAAATGAGAAAGGGACTGGATTCTAAAATTATACCCCCTCTCAGATTTACAAATGTGCACACATTTACTCATGGTGCAAGAAGCCCTAAGTCCTAGTCCTGCGTGTGAATTGCTGGATTAACCAGGACCTGAGCAAGCAGGACAGTAATAGGTTCCAGGAGACGGGCCCAGTGGCCTGGGTGAGCTGACTGCCTGGTGCTAAGCCCGGAGCCCAGGCAATTGTAGTGTTTGCCTTGAGGCTGCCCCTCTGACTAGCCTGGTGGGTTGGAGCCGGGGGAGTAGAAGCTAATGAACGCCTCTTCTTTTATTCCCAGGGACACATGGAAGCCGCCCACCCACAAGCCGAGGATCAGCTGAGCCCTGGGGCTGATGCTTGCCCACACTGCTGAGAATGGCACCGAGGCCCAGACAGGCAGCGGGAGAAAGGTTAACTGGGGACACTCCTGGACAGTGATCCTGATGTCTGTTCTGAGTCGTGCACTCAAGGGTGTGATAAGTGAGTATGTTTCAGGCTTCCCGGGGATCACCAGCCTGCCTTGCCTCGGCAGCACGGACACAGGTCCGGAGGTTCTAGGTCTGAGCCTGTGTTCTGTCCAAGGGCCCGTCACAGGGCTATAGTTGTGGAATAGGAGGGGAGTGTCAGGACTGTCATCAGTTACAGGCCATTTCACATGCTGGAGTCATCTTTTAGCCACATGGCCTCTAAAAACTGTGCCAGACCCAGACTGGCTGACACGAGTGATGTCAGACACCCAGCACATAGGAGATGACATCTTCCCAAATCCTCTTTCTTATCTGCAGGCTCCTGGATGCTTTGGGTCCCAGGCTTTACCTCTGTGCAATGAGAACTGTACCTCATCTGGGACTCCAGACTCTGCTCAGATAATATGAGCAGCTCACGAGGACTTGGGTAGAGCACCCAAGCCACTGGGAGGTGAGGGATTGGTGGTCCCTTAGCTGCCATAAAAGTGGCCACCAAGGGTTCAAGAGGAGCAAGGCCTCTGCTGCTTTTGGCCTGTTAGGAGGAGGTTCTCCCTCCCAAGTCTAGACAAACTGCATGGAGAGCAAGGGACCCCCAACTGTGGAGTTGCACCTATCCTCATAGGGGCTTTCTTTCCAGCCTTGACCTCTGGCTTTTCCTTGATGGTGCTCTAAAAAATGACGATTGGTTGGGGTGCCTGGGGGGCTAGTTGGTTGGGTGTCCGACCTCACCTCACGTCATGATCTCACAGTTTGTGGGTTCGAGCCCCGTGTCGAGCTCTGTACTGACAGCTCCGAGCCTGGAGCCTGCTTCTCGGATTCTGGGTCTCCCTCTGTCTCTGGTCCTCCCCCCGCTCATGCTCTGTCTCTTTCTCTCTCAAAAATAAATAAACTTAACAAAAAACGACCATTGGCTGCTTTCCCAAGCCCTGGAGGCCTGTCCAGCCTAAAGGCTGTTGTCTGCCTAGGGCAGACAGTCCCGCCGAGGGATCAGGGACCAGCAGGCAGGAAACTCCCCTGGAAGACAGGCCAGGGAAAGCCAGTGCTTTCGCACTCCTGACTGGACAGGCTGTGGAGAGCTGCTGGGCCGGCAAATGGGAGCCTGGAGCCCCAGATGCCACGCAGGAGCTTGCAGGGAGGGAAAGGGGTAACTGGGTATTTCTCAGCTGTAGGCAGATGTGGATTCTGGTGCCAGTAAGAGTTTAAAACTCAGGGCTGGCATTTATTTTTCACTCCACCTGGGCTTGCAAAATCAGTTTGTGGTTGGAGGGTCTTTCAGGAAGTTGATTTGTAGCCAGGGTAGTGTGAGCCTGAACTGTAGGAGTGGGGTGGGGGTGCAGAGATGGCCACAGAGGCCAATGTGGGAACACGGTGGCTCAGACCAGAAACCTAGTCCCCCACATAACACAGAATTCCCCAGGGCAATCTATACCATCACCCCTAAGACTGTTGAACCCTTCAGTACAGTAATCCCATTTCTGGAATTATTCATTAAGAAATCTTTCTTTAGGGGCACCTGGGTGGCTTAGTCGGTTAAGCGTCCGACTTTCGCTTAGGTCATGATCTCGCGGTTCATGGGTTCGAGCCCCGCGTCGGGCTCTGTGCTGACTGCCAGCTCAGAGCCTGGAGCCTGTTTCAGTCTGTGACTCCCTCTCTCTCTGACCCTCCCCTGCTCACTCTGTCTCTCTCTCTCTCCTAGAAATAAATAAAACATTTAAAAAAAAAAAAGAAATCTTTCTTTAAGGGGCACCTGGGTGGCTCAGTAGTTAACCTCCAACTCTTGATCTTAGCTCAGGTCTTTATTATTTTTTTAAATTAATTATTCATCTTTTTTTCCTTCCAAGATTTTCTTTAAAAATTTTTTTTAAATGTTTATTTATTTTTGAGAGAGACAGAGTGTGAACAGGGGAGAGGCAGAGAGAGAGAGAATCCGAAGCAGGCTCCAGGCTCTGAGCTAGCTGTCAGCACAGAGCCCAATGCGGGGCTTGACCTCACAAACTGTGAGGTCATGACCTGAGCTGAAGTCAGACACTTAACCAACTGAGCCACCCAGGTGCTCCCAAGATTTTATTTAAATTCAAGTTAGTTAATGTATAGTTTAGTATTGGTTTCAGGAGTAGAATTTAGTGATTCATCAGTTACATTTAACACCCAGTGCTCATCACAAGTGCCCACCTTAATACCCATCTCCCATCTAGCCCATCCCCCACCTGCCTACTTCCACCAACCCTCAGTTTGTTCTTGATAGTTAAAAGTCTCCTATGATTTGCCTCCCTCTCTGTTTTTATCTTATTTTTCCTCCCCTTCATCTGTTCATCTGTGTTATTTCTTAAATTCCACATGAGTGAAATCATATGACATTTGTCTCTCTCTGACTTATTTTGCTTAGCATAATACACTCCAGTTCAATCCACATCACTGCAGATGGCAAGAGTTTATTCTTTTTGATGGCTAAGTAATATTCCATTGTATATTTATACCACATTTTCTTTATCCATTCATCGTTGTTAGACATTTGGTCAGCTCACGTCTTGATCTCAGAGTTGTGAGGTCAAGCCCCACATTAGGCTCTATGCCTAGCATGGAGCCTACTTTAAAAAAAAGAAAGAAATCTTTCCTTAGGATGTAGTCCTAGAGAAGAAAAAGGCTGAATTCTTTTGTTACAGGCATAGAAAAGATGTTTCTTGTGGTGTCACTGTAATAGTGGAAATGGGAAACAATTTCTCTCTCTTTTTTGAGCATCTAAGTTAAGTAAGTTATAGTGTCCCACCTGGTGGAATATCAGACAGCCATTATAATAATGGGAACATAACCAATATAACAATTGAGGAAAATGATTATGATATAAGAAGTGAGAATGTCAGGTTACAGAATAAGTGCATTGAAGCAACTTGTAAAATAAACACATGAGAAAAAATTGCAAGGGAGAAGTGATAATGGCTGCTAGTTTGGTGGAATTATGAATTCCTTTTCTTTCTATGATGCATGGATTTGCTTGATTTAAAGCTAAATGTAATCCGGATGAATACACAACACACCATTAACAGTGACTTTCTCTAAGATGTGGGGTGATGGAAGACTTTTACTTTCCAGGCCAGTCCTTTCTGTAATGTTTAAATTTCAGGTGTGAGCACATGTTCCTTTTTAATCAGGAAAAATGACAAAGATCTTTTAAAATGTTAGTATTGACAATTTAAAAAGGCTGTATCTTCCAAGAAAGGAGAGAAGTGAAGGCTGAGCCAGCTAGCTGCTTATACCTGCTCTTATCAGTGTTTAAGAACCTGCACCTGTGTGGGCCCATTCATTCATTCATGCCACCAGTATTAATGGGTCTTATCACTAGGTGCTGTTGTAGGCACTGGGAACCCAGCAGTGGACAAGACAGGGCCCCTGCCCCCAGGGAGGGAGCATTCCTTCTGGTTGGAGGAGATAGACAACAAACAGATAGCAAATAGCAGAAAGCAAAAGTGTTGGAGGAAGAAAACAGGATGATGTCAGTGATGGGAAGGCTATTTTGAAGTGGAGACCAGAGAAGGTCTCAGGGGTGATGCTTGAGCTGAGATTCGAATAACAATAGAGAAGCAGCCAAGCGAGGTCTGGAGCCTTGAGGCAACACTCAGGAAGCCCAGCCTCAGAGACCCCTCTGCCGAGTGTCCTTTACTGCGTGAGCCCTGGGAAACCTCTGTACCAGGCTGACTGTGTTCCCCAGGCCCAATTGCCCCCATGCTCCTGCCAGCTGGGATTTGCTTAGCCTCCAAGGCCTTGTAAAATCCCCTCTGCTCTGCTGCTCTGAGTGGAATGGCTGGTCCTGACACTCTCCCTGGTGCTGCTTCAGGCACCAGGCTTCTCTGGGCAGTGTGATGCTGGTTGCTGCTCTTGGCTGAACGTCCATGGCAGGGCTGGGCCATCTGAGATTCCCAGCCACATTAGGGTGGGCTGGCAGTCAGGATGGCCTGACCAGGACCAATGTATGTCCTGGTGAAAGGCCTTTGAATGGCACATGCCTTGAGGCCCTCAGAGGTGGCTGCTACCATGGTCCTGAGAGGGTCAGCTATGACCCTGGAGGATCCTTGTGTGGATCTTGCCAGAACTTGGCCTTAGAATAGAACTTGGCCTCTCAGAATAGGCTGAGAGCCTGCAATAGCTCTGACACCTGTTCTGGGCTTCACTGATGCTCTATCTAGAGGCTTACATCCCTCTTGCTTCCTGTTGTTGCTCCATATTACCATCCTAGCCTTCCAGAAGCAGAAACTCAGAAAATGATGGTGCCTATAGAGGAGCCTGTAGTCAGCTTCAAGGGCAGTGCAAGTGCTGAATGGGAATGAAGGCTCTGGAGCCAGACTTGTTGGGTTTGAATCCTAGCTCTGCCTTTTATAGCTGTAATTATCAATAACTCTTCCTCAATTGCCCCATCTATAAAATAGGCTTGAATATTATCTGAGTTAATACATGGTAAGCGCAGAGAAGAGTGCCTGATTATTACCGGGACTTGGGAGGTAGAGGGAGGAGCATCCCAAAGAGCTTTCCTGGGGAGATGACCTTAGCAAGAAAGGGTCAAACTCTATGGCATCTGAGCTAGCAAGCTCTGCTTGCTTCCTTTCTGGCCCTGAAGCAAGCCATGTGTTCCTCCCAACCTCACCCCTCCCAACTTGATGACCACAGCAGAAAGCTCAGGATGGTTTCAGACCTTGCATCTTTCACCCAGATGTTAGGACACCTGCCCACCCCTCACTGATTCCACTCACCTCCAGCACAGGGCCTACCAGGGGGCTGGACTCAGAGTCCCCCCGACCTCCTTGCTCTCAGGGACCCCCTATAACGGCTGTGCCTCTCCCCAGCACATGGAACTGTAGCGATTTTGGTGCCTGGGAATGGGAAAGTAAATGAGGTGAAAGAGGCCTTGTAATGAGGTGAAGGCCTGCCCAGCCTGGTAACATGGAAGGGGAATCCCAATTTTCTATCAAGATGCTCTTCCCAACAGAAATTCCCAGAGTCAACATGTTGTGGCACCTTAGCTTCCTGGAACAAGATGAGAGTTTTGAGTAAAACCAAAGGAAGTTGCTTATCTGGTTTTGCCTCCAGCCTGTCTTAAACTCTTGTGGCGTTCTCTTTGCCCCTCTCAACTTGCTGTGCTCTCTGCCTAGGGAACAGCTCAGCAGATTCTGGAAGCTGGTGAGATACTCCTGGGGAGCAAGACTTTGAACCCCTCCCCACAAAATCTATCACCTGTCCACTTGGCGGGGGGAGGGGAGGTGCCCTGTTCTGACAAGTCATCTTGAGTTCTGGCCCTTTGCTGGAACTCTGTATTCCCAGGCACTTTTATCAACAAGTATGAAGGCTCTTATAGGTGAGTGTTGTTCCCCATATCCTGTTTGTGAAACCGTCCACAGCTCTTCAAATCCTTTTCTCCTGTTTTCGTCCTTGCCCACGCTCTCCACTTCACCTTGAGTTTTCTTTCCTGGGCTGTCCTGTGTTTGTGTAATGGTCCTCAGATGGCTGTGTTTGTCACCAGGAGACAACGTCCAGTGAGCTGCTGGTTCTTCCTGACGCAGGCCTTCCCAGGGCTTTGATTCCAGTGCCGAGTAAGGAGGTATTGGAAGAGTATGGGGAGAGGGCTCGGGTTGGGGGAGGCCTGGGCAGGGGTAGGGGTTTGTGGGCCTAGCAGAGGGTCGGGGAGCCTGTTCCAGCTCAGAGTTTAAGCACAGCTCCTGTGAGTATTAGCACTGGGTTTGGGGAGTGGAGCTTTGCAAATCCACCCAAGCCAATGCCGCCTCTAATGTTAGTGTTGGTGCCACCGTGGGTATGAGCTGTCATCCCAGCTGATAATGCTGTCTCACATCCCCTTTCTCTGTCTTCACCCCCATCTCCTGGCCCCAGCCAGGATTTCCAGTTTTCCCCATTTGTCTCACGTGGACTAGGCGTGTTCTTCTGGCAAAACCCCGCAGACGCAGACTGACCTGGCCTAGGTACGCCTCTCCTCTGCCTACCTGTGTTCTTCCAGGTATGGAAGGTTCCAGAAATGGAATCCAGGCCTTGGGCTCACTCTGTTCTTTCTTCCCCATCCTCTCTTCTTTTCAACATCTTGCCCTCCTTCCACCATTTAACAGCTACTCCTTCGTTCTTGCTTGCTTCTGCTCTAAGGTTTGGAGGTCTAGCTCTTTAAAGTCACCTGTTTCAGAGGGGGTGTGACTGGACCCTCTGAGTTGTAATTGACTGGGAAACCATCCTTGGCCATCTCTAAAGATGAGCTCACAGGGCGAGGAGAACAGGGTTTTAAAGTCAGCACTGGGTAGGGGCTGACCCAACAGGACCCCACTAGCTATGTCAGGGAACAGGATCCTGTGGGCCAGAGGGGCCAGAGGTGCAAGTACAAGTCAGGTGGATAGATCTAAGTTGAGGGAGGCCTGAGCTGCTTGGGAGATAGAGTGCTTTCCAGGCCACCACATCCATGCCTGCCTCAGCTCATGGGCCCCTCCTCATTCTCAGTGAGTTTCCCTAGAGCTTGAATGTGTTCTCTCCCACTCTGGGGGTCCAACAGCCTATTAGGGGTTCAGTATGAAATGAAGGTGTGAGAAGCTTGCCAGGAATGCTGGCTCTTTCAGTCCACCCTTCTGTTCCAGCCTGGACCTCAAAGGGCTAGTTCTGAGGCCCCTCCCCTTTGGTTAAACCTCCCCAGGCGCACAGAGGCTGGAAGCTCACCTGACCCCTCCTCAGCTCAGCCTTTGTACCCCCTATGGGCTGTGTGTGGTTATTGGTTTCACAGGGTTGCTTGGCTGCTGGGTTGTGCTCTGGGTGGAGGTGAAGACCTGACCTGCTTAGCAAGGAAGGTAGCCCAACTGCTAGTGAGGACAGGGGCAGAGTGACCTGCCTCGGGTACAAGGTGGCATGCAAAGCGGGAGAAGCTGACCAGGAAGCCTGACTCTGTGCCAGAAGTGACAGCCACAATTTCTTGAGCATTTGCTATAATTTCAGTAGTGTCTGTTAGCTCCCATCCTTACAGTCATCCTCGGAAGCAGTTACTCTTATTATGCTCCCTTTATCTATAAGGAGACAGCAGCACAGAAAGGTCTGGTAACATGCCCACAGGTGCAGGGTACTACTAACCAGTTTGAAAACCCAAAAGTTAGAGTCTAGGGACCCTGGGCTTAAACCACTTCATGCTGTTCAAACCTGTGAGTCCTGGCTTGTTGTTTGTTGGTGATGGCTCAGGAGAGAACAGCATGCGTTACCTATTCAGAACTTCAGGCCTCCTTAGATTCCTTTGTCTGGCAAGTTTGTTGAGCAATCTTCTCTGTACAAGCACAAAGGTGATTAATACATATTCATACAACAAACAGTTTTAAGATAAAATTTTATTTTCGTAAAAGTTTACACATACTTAGTATAAAAAAATTTTAGACTATACAGAGAAGTTTAAATAAGGAAATAAAAATCACTTGTGACATCACCCTCCAGAGATGATTATGGCTGATTTTGTGTATGTTTACAGGTCTATAGGCTCTTGCAAAATCAAAATCATATTAATGATTTAGTTTTGAATCCTGCTTTGTTTTTTCCTCTTCACATTATATAAAAAGTTCATCGAGGGGCCATTGGTGCATGGCAAAGCACACTGCTAACTCTTGTCACAGAAGTGAACTGGGTGCAAAGGTGGACAGACAGGGCAGCAGATAGCTCTGGAATTGGTGGCATTTAGGAAAATCTTCACAGAGGAGGAGCTGGACCTTGAAGGAAGATTATGGACTCACGGGCCATGGGTTGGGGGTGATGGTGGCAGTAGCAGTTGGGAAAGGCACCCCAGGTAGCAAAACCAGTAATGAGAAGATCCAGAGGACAAGGTCTGAGGCAGAGGTGGCTCATAAAGTGATTTGCCAGCCATCCCTAGGGGTTCGAGCCTACTGCGTGGATAGTAAAGATCCACTTATAGGCCTTACGTGGGGAGAAACATCGAATTTGCACTTAAGAAAGATTATGGTTTCTATACTTTTTTTAAAAAACGTTTGTTTGAGAGATAGAGACAGAGCACCAGTGGGGGAAGGACAGAGAGAGAGGGGAGACACAGAATCTGAAGCAGGTGCCAGGCTCTGAGCTGTCAGCATAGAGCCCAGCATGGGGCTCAAACCCAAGAACTGTGAGATCATGAATGACCTGAGCCAAAGTTGGATGCTTAACTGATTGAGCCACCCAGGCGCCCCTACGTGCTCTTTTTTAGTGTGATGAGTGGATTGGAAAGGAATAGGCAAGGGAAGAAACCAGCTGGGAGACTCTGGGTGAGAGATGGTGACAGCCTGAAGCAGAGCAGCAGCAATGAGAAAGAGGAGTGAAGAGGAAGAGATGATTTCAAAGATATTTAGGTGGTGGAAAGGACAGGAGGTAATGGCTGACTTGGTGCCTTTATCATGTGACTTGCTTCGATCAAGAAGATGTTAGTGGGCATGACTTAACCAGAGTCTTGAAAAGCTATGGTGGGGTGCCTGGGTGGCTTTGTCAGTTAAGTGTTCGACTTTGGCTCAGGTCATGATTTCGAGGTTCATGGGTTCAAGCCCCACATCGGGCTCTGTGCTGACAGCTAGCTCAAAGCCTGGAGCCTGCTTTGGATTCTATATCTCCCTCTCTCTCTAACCCTCCCTGGCTCACACTGCCTCTCTCTCTCTCTCAGAAACAAATAAAACACTTTTTAAAAATTGGAGAAAAAAAAAAAGCTCTGGTGCAGTAGGCTTGCTCGTTCATGTACCTCTGCCCTTGCCATGAGAAAGTATGCCTGGGATGAGAGACAAGTAGATCAGAGCCACCCTAGCCAAGGATAGGACAGAACCACCATATAACCAGCAGTCTCATGATTGAGGCCAGCCAAGATCCGCCCCCCCCCCAACCTACAGACACACAAGCTATCGTAATAAATGAGAGTTGATTGAAGCCACTGAGTTTTGGAATGACTTCTGTAGCAATTACAAACTATTAAGAAATGTCTTTTTTTTTTTTAATTGAATGCTGTGTGCAAGACACTATTCTAGGCGCTGGGGGTGCAGTACTGAACTAGAGGGACAAAGTCCTTATTCTCAGGGGAGCTTATGTTCGAGTGGGGAAGCGGCAGAGGAAGTTAGCATGACACTAGAGCTGGCTGCTAACTGAATGCTTGGTGGTTCCTTTAATCAGGGTGAGGTCACAGGAGGAAGACAAGTTTTGGGGAAAAGATAATGAGTCTGATTTAGGAAAGGAGTTTGAGGTATCTATAGGACATTTTAGGGGGAGGTGTTCAGGAAGGTGTGGAATACAGAGGTGTAGAACACAGGAAAGATGTCTGGATGGGGACTGAACGTTATCAACATAATGAAACAGGAAATCATCTGGTCCAAGGAGAGAGAGAGAGAGTGCTATGGCAATTCAGTGGGGGAAGGGAGGACTGTGGAGGGGAGGATGAAAAAGATTTTGTTCTGAAGGTAACCTGGAAGCTGAGTTTGTACTTGTGGAGGTGAGAGGAGAAGGCACGGGAAATACACGGATAGAATCTGCAAGGAGGGGAGGGAAGACTGAGAGAGCTGGCTTGTGAGAATAAGGCTGAAAAAGTAGGCTGGCATGAGATCCTGGTGAGTCTTGAATGCCAGGCCAAGGATGCTGTGGCATTTCATTAGGAAATGGGGGGCCACTGAATGTTTTTGAGGAGGGGAGTGCCATGTCTAGGAGATGGGCAGTAGTGTGCAGAGGGATGGTGCTGAAGCAAAAACCAGGAGATGTGCATACTAGTCTTAGCGGTTCCATCCACTGGCCCTGGAATATGGGGCAAATGACCTCTCTTGGGTCACGAATTCATTCACACGAATCTTAATTTTGTAAGAACCAATGACAAAATGTGAATGGAAGTGCTTGGAAGACCACAAAGCGATCACAAGGGAGGCTACACTGGGATGGGTATTAATTGTGACTGGGTCTGTGTTAGCTGAAAGATGAGGCTGGGATTCCCAGACAAGCAGGCAGATTGCAGATGCATCTTGTTAACCTCTGTCCTCTCTCCCACCTTGACAGACGTGTCAAGCCTAATGTTCACTGGCAGCTGGCAGAGCTGGGATGCATGTTTTCATGTTCTGCCTTCCCATTCCTGATGCAGCCCTGAACTGTACCCCTGCCACACACCCAAACATGCATCGTTTAGACAGTACCTGCTCCAGGAAGGCCTGTGCCAAGGCTGCAGAACAGAGGACTGTAAAATAGTCCCTGCCCTCAAGGAGTACTCAGGCTAACTGGCTGTGTACCAGCTAGCTGGATCAGAGGGCATATGCCTAATAGCAGCAAACATGGGGTGGCATTGGAGAAAGGGCCAGTTGAGTCATCTAGACAGTCCTGATGGAGGGCAAGGAGAAAGCAGAGAGGTCTGGGGGTTAGGCCAGCCTTTAGGAAAGCAGGATGGGGCCTTAAAGACTGCTGGGGTTGAGAAGAGAGGAGAGGAAGAGAATAAGAAGTAGAGAGGACTATCAGCCCACTGGTTTCCTTTCAACATTGAAACTAACACCAAAACCCACTTAATGGAGCAGTTAAGACCAATGTGACCACAACAAGCTGCCACTTTAAACCCATTAGGAAGGCTATCATCAAAAAAACAGAAAATATAAAGTACTGGCAAGGATGTGGAGAAATTGGAATCCTTGAGTATGTGGGGAATATAAAATGGTACAGCTGCATGGAAAACAGCATGGCCATTCCTCAGAAAATAAACATAGCAGGGTGCTTGGGTGGCTCAATTGGTTAAGCGTCCAACTTCAGCTCAGGTTATGATCTCACAGTTTGTGGGTTCAAGCCCCACTTAGGGCTCTGTGCTGACAGCTAGCTCAGAGCCTGGAGCCTGATTTAGATTCTGTGGTTCCCTCTCTCTCTGTCAATCTCTTGCTCATGCTGTCTCTCTCTCTCTCTCAAAAGTAAATAAAACATAAAAAATTAAGAAATAAAATAAAAATAGAATCACCATACAATCCAACAATTCTACTCCTGGGTATAAATCCAAAAGAATTGAAAGCAGAGACTAGAACAGATATCTGTATACCCATGTTCATAGCAGTAGTGTTGACAATAGCCAAAAGGTGGAGGCAAGCCATTCGTGGACAAATGGATAAATAAAATGTGAAAAAGGGGGCACCTGGGTGGCTCAGTGGATTAAGCATCCAACCTTGGCTCAGGTCATGATCTCATGTCTAGGGAGTTCAAGCCTTGAGTCAAGCCTCCCTCCCGTGTCAAGCCCCCCTCCCCCGTCAAGCCCCGTGTCAGGTTCTGTGCTGACAGCTTGGAGCCTGGAGCCTGCAGCCTGCTTCAGATTCTGTGTCTCCCTCTCTCTCTCTCTGCCCGTCCCCTGTTCACACTCTCTTTCTCAAAAATAAATAAACATTAAAAAATGTTTTTAAATGTGATATATCTAAATAGCTAGCTAGATCACAATGGAATGAATATTATTCAGCCTTACAAAGTGAAGGACATTCTGACACACGCTTACAATATGGATGAACCTTGCGGGCACGATGCTCAGTGAAATAAACCAGTCATAAAAGGACAAATGCCATATGATTCCACTTAAAAGAGGTAACTAGAGTAGTCAAATTCATAGAGACAGAAAGTAGAATGGTGGTTACCAGGTGTGGGGGAGGGGGTGGGGAGTTAGTGTTTAATGGGTTTGGAATTTCAGTTTGGGATAACGAAAAGGTTTCGGAGATGGATGGTGGTGACAGTTGCACAACAGTATGAATGTACTTAATGCCACTGAACCATACACCTAAAAATGGCTAACATGGTACATGTTATGTATATGTTAACTAACAGACACACGAGATAAATGTGATAGGTTGCTTGGAAAGATCTCAGAAAAATCAGTGATGTGGAGTTGTTTGAGAAGAAGTGGAGGAAGAGATGGTGACCCTGGTGGACGAGCCTGATGAGAAAGCAGCTAGTGGCCTAGAAAAGGGGGTGACTGGCAGGCCAGGACAGCCAGTTCTTCTGTTGACCACAGATACCAAACAAAGTTTAGGGAGTGTAGGAGATACCTCCTGCCAATAGTATTTGAGTAGGTCTGGACAGAGGAAGCCAGTGGAGCTTTTAATTTTCTTCCTTTAATTTCTCATGCCCACCTGGCTAAGGTGAGGAATAGGGAATAAAGGAATGAACACGAAATAGGGTCAAGAATATGACTGGTAACCAAAGAGAAAGGTAGAGGCAGGTTTGGAATCCCCTCCAGCCTGGTCATAGCAGAGACCTGCGCTGGGCGTGGGAAGGCAGGAGAAGGGCTCCCTCCCTCCCTCACCTGTCTCCCCTGTGTCCCAGCAGCCAGCCCCACTCGGCACCATGGCATCTGCCGAGCCCCTGACGGCGCTGTCCCGCTGGTACCTGTATGCCATCCACGGCTACTTCTGCGAGGTGATGTTCACGGCGGCCTGGGAGTTCGTGGTGAACTTTAACTGGAAGTTCCCTGGGGTCACGAGTGTGTGGGCGCTCTTCATCTACGGCACCTCCATCCTCATCGTGGAGCGCATGTACCTGCGCCTGCGCGGCCGCTGCCCACTGCTGGTGCGCTGCCTCATCTACACTCTCTGGACCTACCTGTGGGAGTTCACCACCGGCTTCATCCTGCGCCAGTTCAACGCCTGTCCCTGGGACTATTCCCAGTTCGACTTTGACTTCATGGGCCTCATCACCCTGGAGTACGCCGTGCCCTGGTTCTGCGGGTCTCTCATCATGGAGCAGTTCATCATCCGCAACACCCTCCGCCTCCGCTTTGACAAGGATGCCGAGCCCGGGGAGCCCAGTGGTCCCCTGGCGATGGCCAACGGCCACATCAAGACAGACTGAATGGGGCTTGTGGGTGGGGTCCAGGGCTCTCTCATGGACCTGGTGGACAGAGGTACCAAGCTGGTGGGGTTATGTCTTCTGAACAGCACAAACCCTGGCCCGGGTCTGGCCTCAGTCCCCTAGGGTCCCCTAGGGCACCCTGCACCCCCTCGTGCTCCACTGTGGGCAGGACCGGGGGCAGGGCCAGATGTGGGGGGCGGTTGTGGAGGTAGCCCGGGGACTCTTGGAAGGGTCTGTGGACCTCTGCCCAGCTCATAGGCTGGTGGCCAGAGGCCTGTGGCTAAGCAGCAACTGGACCACCTGGGTGACTTTGGAAGCAGCAGGCCCTGTCCTGGCTAAGGGACTGAGAATGGGGCAGAATATGGGAAGCAAGACCTGAGGAGGCTTTGGGCTGTTGCATGGCCTCCTCTCTCCTCTCACGTGGTTTAAGTTGGGCTTTGGCTGGTTCCATTAGGCAATATTCAGGTGCTTGCTTGCAACCAATACCTCCCCAGGGGCCTGCTGAGCTGCAGCCTAAGGACAGACTGGGCAGCCAGGAGGCTGCTTGGCAGTAGTGCTGGTCTGCCAGGGCTGGAGGCCTTCCCTTGGCTCCTCTCCCCTCCCCCAGGGCTCTAATGCTCCCTTGGCCTTCTGGGGGCCCCCCCTGGTGCTGGATTCCCACCAACCTTGGGCTTTTGGAGGTTTCAATCCCTGTGTGTTCGGTGGCGTTTCCCCCCTTTTCTCTTATTTTCAAGGCTTTTACCATTAGCAGCCCCTTTATCCATGTCAGTCATCCCCACCCCCCACCCCCCAAATCCTTGGCCAACACAGCAGTTGCCAGAGATAGAACCCTGAGACAGACCCTGCCTACCCTCTTGCAGCCTTCCTTCCACTATTTTGCTGGCCTGATGACTGGGAAGTTCCCCTTTTATACCTCTCCACCTGTCTGGTGGGCTGTGGTAGTGCCCCGGTGCTCTTCTCTGTGCCCCCTCCCCTCAGTGGCCCAGCTAAAATTGAATGATACCCTCCCCCAACACACAGGCTAAGATGGGCCTGCCCCAGATCCACAATGGGGACCTAGAGACAAATCAGTTTAGGGGAGGGGGGTTGTGATAAAGGCATCTGGTTTCTTTTCAAGCCAGTCAGGGGCAATCAAGCTTTCTAGGGGATGGAGGACCAGGAATCCCGTGTTGGGAGACCCATAGAGAATAAGTGAGGGAGAAAAAGAAGACAGCCTTTCAGCTTTGAGAGGGTCTTTGAAGCGTACTTAGTGGGAAGGGGTCAACTGGTTCTGCCCCAGCCCCAGCCCTGCAGCAAAACCTCCTCAGGGCTACCCCCTTCCCACCCCTCCCAGCAAGGCTGACACTTTGAGCTTACTCCTTGAACAGTATTAACCCTGCCATGCTCATGGGCTTTGTCATCTTGGTTGCCCTCCCCCTTCCTCTGTGACAGGTCCATTGCTGGCAGTGGACAGGTGAAATCCTCACTCCAGCCCACTTCTGGCTCCACCCCAACTCCCTGAGGGGAGAGGTTCATCAGAATGCAGCCAATGCCATGGTACGTGGTCTCTTCTTGACCACACTAGGAGTCGTAGAAACTAGCCTTTCCCTTTTTTGGATCATTAAAAAGTGATAATACCACCTATGGAGAGAAGCTGCTCTTCCTTGCCGTGCTGCTCCACCTAGACTGCAGACAGCACCAGCCAGGGTGTGAGCCAGGGCTGGTGGGCTGGGGATGGGCAGGAGTGGTGTCCTGGATTGAGGGAAAGCCTGGGAGACTCTGCCTTTGGCAGAGCTGTTTTCTGCAGTTAACCCTGTCCAGGACAGGATGAAGGGCATTTTCCAGCCTCTGTGTCCTGGCCAGGCGCCTCAAATCCAGGCATGAACTACATTCTGCTGGGGCCCCAATTCCAGGGCTTTGGGGCATCCAGAGATTCAGGTTTCCATCTACAGGTGGAAAGGATTCCAGAGGGAAAATATCTGGTTTCCCTGTTCCCCCTGGGAGAGTATTTCCTTGGCCTTCTCCCTTAACTCTGTGATATCCCAGTTTTCTGGACCCAATACCCTTCCAGGCTCCCCATGTGGGCCCTTAGACCACACCACCCACCTTTCTCCCCTGCCATGCCCAAATCTGTGGTCAGCTTGTTGACGTCTGCCAGCATGGGGCCTCCATGATTCTCAGTCAGAGCAAGCCCTTGGATGGCCCATCAGGTCTGGCCACTCCAGATGTTGACTCACGGGCATTCCCTGGCACCATCTTTTCTCTGGGCTCTACAAACTCTCAAGTCCAGGAGGTCTCACAATAAACCTGCCTGCCTGACATGTACAGAGAGCTGTTTTTCCACTTCATCCAGGTCCCTGTGGCTCTTGTCCTTCGTGGGGCACAGAGTCCCCAGCAAAGGGAGGCAACGATCTCAGGGTCAGAAGGCTCAGAATTCACCAGGAGTAGCCCTGACTTCAACACTTGTTTTTTTTTTTTTTTGTTTTTTGTTTTTTGTTTTTGGTATCTCAGGACCCTAACCCCTTAGTACCCAGGCACCCCAGCTCTGTCAGTGGGGGTGCTGGCAGGAAGAGTCTGCTTGCTGTTTGTGAACCTCTGGTGTCCTGGGTCTCTCTCCACTGGACATGGCAGCATTTCTGAGTTACAGATCGCCATGTGCTGGCCTGCATGGTTAAACCGCTTCTGATGTCTGCTAGGCATCCTGTCCCTGTGCCCTGTCCCTTCTGATGCTAGTGAGTCACAATGGCCTATGCTTATTTACAGCAATAATACATAGGGGGTGCCCATGAAATCCTCTTGTTCTAGTCCCCCACTCTCTGCATGGGTCTCCTTAGGGAGGTAGCACTGAATGGGTCAGTTCCTGAGAACCGGTATTTATGTAGCTCTGGGTCGTGCAGACATCATCACAGGGAATTCAGAAAGGAGAGAGGTCCAGCCCTTGAGCTGTAGTGAGGCAGGGAGAGTACCTTCCACCCTGAAGCCACCCCCGACATGGAGGAGCTGCAGGTCCCGGCTCTCCCACCTTCACAGTGGGTGGGACTGTCTCCCAACTGTTGCAGCTCTTCAAAAGGACACATGATGGGTTTGTGCGCCCATTGCCTGCTCTGTCTCCATTGGTCTCTTTGTCTCTTCTTTTTCATATTTGTGCACATCAAATATACTGGTGTTTGTGTTCCAGGACTGGCTCTGATACATCTCTGTTTCTTCTATTTTGGAGCCCCTTTCCTAGAGGCTGCTGGAGGCCAAGCCCCTCCTACACCATGTCGTGATGCTGTCTTAAACCAAGAGGGCTGCTGGGTGGGGCCACTGTGTGGGGAGGGCAGTTGGCCCTCCCTGACACTCCTTTTCACTATCTCTGCTCTGACCATCCTGGTAACTTGAATTCTCTGCCCACCCCTCCACCCCTCACCAGGAGCATGATATGGTCCATAACCTGACCATTCTTTGGTCCTAGGTTGCAAAGCAGACAGCGTGGCCTAGGCAGTATCCAGGTTGGCTACAGGTTGGCTGCATCTGCTCAGGAGATGAACTCCTCTTGAAACACACCAGCCATGACCTGGAGTGTCATGAGCCAGGAGGGGCCAAGAAAGGAGGCTGAGGGGACTCCAAAGGGCTGAGCCACCAGAGCTCCTTATTTTCCGTTACACCAAAAGTCTCGCTTTGAAGAAACAGAGCTCTGCACTCCTCCCTGGCAACTCCTCATTCCCTGAGAGGTGCATTTGGAGGGGATAACCTCTCCCTACTTTGTGGACTTCTGCTCTGTCTTGTGTCCCTCATCCTCTCTCCCTACCATGCTACTGTCCACTTTCCTACTCCCAGGAAGAGAATGGAGCATTCAGAAATTATTCAGTCAGTTCAACTAAACCCAGAGGCTTGGTCCCCCCTGCCACAGCCACTGTTTTTCTGGATGAAGTAGGCAGTGTGTTTTCCGAGTCATTGGGAAGGCCCCTGTCTCCCCAGCTCACTTCAATGTATTCATTTCTTTGACTGAAAGCTTTTCCCCTTATAGAAACGAGGAAACATAAAGCCCCACAGCCATTCACATGTTTGTATAAACAAATATATAAGGCTATTCCCTTAGAGCAGGTTTTCATAGAAAGAGGCCAGCATAATGAAACAGGGTCTACCTTATGGAGCTTCAGAGAAAACGCAAGAGACAGAGCTCAGAACAAGAAGTCTGAGGGGACCCAATACCCTTCTTAACTAGTCAGCTCCTTCTGTGCTCTACTCAATGGATGCCTTCCTTTCTTGATACTTTCCTTCTTCACCTCCTCTGCCGCACCCTCATCCAATCCAAAGGGACCTTCTGTTGATGTTGCATTGAGACAAGGAGAGCTAATGCCAAGGACCTTGACTACATCTTCTGACATCTGCCCAGCCTTCATAAGAGTCTAATATTCAGTTAGCAACGATGAATGAATGACCATAATCTTGCCTTTCCTTCTGGGGTGCCCATCTGAGAAAAGTGCTTTGTCCATACTAACCCCTGGTACAACCAAGGATGGCTGGACTGCCTGTGTTTGGTGGGCAGGGAAACAGATACAGGAAAAGGGAGCAACTAACTGATCCTTCCACAAGTTACAGGAATTAGTCTCAATAATCTTACAGTAGCTGCAGTTCTTACCACTGTTAGCACGCAGACTTCTAGTACTGGGACTGCAACTTGGGCACAGACGGCACTGAATGTTAATGCACAATCTCAAACTTTCTCCCATTTGAGGTGGGTACTGTTACGTCCCCTTTTTACGCAGAAAATCTGGTGGCAACCAGTCTGCAACCACCGATTTACCATATTCCTCTGCCAATCACTTTTTTGTTTCAGTGTAAGCAGAAGACCCTTTGGAGAGGATTTGTGATGAGTCAGGCGCCCTTTTCTATTTTGATGAGGTTCTGGATATCATTAGAGTCCAGCCCATCCATATGCTATTCACAAAGAGAAATTAATCTTTAGGAGGAGGAGACCTGTGTGGGGGAAACAGAATTAGGGTTATGGGGAAGGAGCTATAGGATGCCATCTTAGCTAAGACCTAAAAAAAAAAAATGGGCACAAGGATGCCTCTTGTGGATGGAGGATTGTAAAATTTGGCCTCTGGCAGCCACGGATTTAGGATTGGCATCTTCTTCCCCTCCCACACACAGCTTTATTTTTGCTGTTGGCTTTTTACCTTTGATTCTACTTATTTCTTTTAAAATTAATGCCCTGTTGGCATTCTCAGAAGGTTTTAAACTACCAGGTGAAAGGGCACCTGGGTGGCTCAGTTGGTTGAGCATCTGACTTCGGCTTAGGTCATGATCTCACAGTTCATGGGTTTAAGCCCCGTGTAGGGCTCTGTGCTGACCACTCAGAGCCTGGACTGTGCTTCGGATTCTGTGTCTCCCTCTCTCTCTGCCCCTCCCCCACTCACACTCTGTTTCTCTTGGTCTCAAAAATAAACAAACATAAAAAACATTTTTTTAAACTGCCAGGTGAAATCTTTCTCCTTCTGAAAACTCAGATGCACCTGAGAATTCACCTCTTTCATGTAACTTATATGGGATACCTGCAGTGCGCCGGGGTAGTCACAGGGGAGCTGTAAGCTAACTGTAAGTTAGCTGGTGAGAAAGATACTGATTGGACACTCAAACAGATAGTTAAGTCATTGCAATGTTGATTAGCCCTGCAAAAGAAAACCTCTAACAGAAGAACCTGACTCATCTACAAGGATATGAAAGGACTCCCCAGGACAAACACACACACACACACACACACACACACACACACACACACACAGTGTAGACCTTCAGACCTTCAGGTTGAATACTGGTGCTTTTCAGAGGTGGACTGGCTGCTGGCCGTGCAGAAATGCAGATGTTGACTATGCCTTGGGAGGTGCCTCGATGGATACAGTGCAGAAAAAAACCAGCACACAGCAAGTACTTCAAGGAATGCTCAATGAGTGAAATCTTACAGTGTATTGGTCCCAGTAAGCTCACCCTGAATGTTCCCGAGCACCACAGACCCCTTTGGGGACCTGAAGCTACAAATCCTATTTGAACAATGACCATTCCTGCCATATTTGTGCCCACCACCATCGAGCAACTCACTGTCCTACTGCTTTTTCCAAGCCATTTGTCTCCACAGAGCCCTGCCAGCTTCACTCTCAGAGACTTTGGAGTTTGGCTCAAGACCCAGCTCCATTGATTTGTCCATTGCTTCATTCTGGTGATACATTTCTTGGTGTGGACAAAGGTGTCCTTTCAGTGCCAGGCACTACAGAGAAGGGTCCACTGACAGTCTGGTCTGGCTCCGTGTTTCTATCACAAGCCTCCCTTCCAAACAGAAAGGAAGCTTTCTGATTTATAAGGGTCCACCAAAGGTAGAGGGCCCTGAGGCTGAATCTTAGTTTGAGTATGGAGCTGTTAGTTTCCTGGGGTTGCTGTAACAAATTACCACAAACTGGGTGGTAATTTATTCTCTCACAGTTCAGAAGTCAGAAATCTAAAATTAAGGTGTCAACAGGGCTTTCCCTCTGGAGACCAGCAGAGAATCTTTCGATGTCCTTTCCAACTCCTGGTGGCTGTTGGCACGTTTTGGCTTCCTAGGCTTGTGGCCGCTCCTTTCCAGCTTCTGGTCACGTGGCCTCCTCCTCTTCTGTCTGGGTCTTCTCCTTTTCTGCTTCTTCTAAGGACACTTATCATTGGATTTAGGGCCCATCTGGATAATCCAGGATGATCTCATCTCAAGATCCTTAATTATTTTTCCAAATAAGGTCACATTCACCAGGTTCCAGGGTTTAAATATGGCTAAATATTTGGGGAGGGGAAAACACCACTCAACCCGCTACAGGGGTTAAGGAGGGAGGTTTCTACTGAAGCCCTTGCATTTTGTGCTGATTACGAGTGAGAGCTAGAAGTTAG